TTGTGGGGCTCCCGGAAATGGAATAGGGACTCCCAAAATAATCCATATACAGTACCCTGTTAGCCTAGTTAGGGTTATGGTAAACGGTTAGGGGTCAATGAGAAGTGAATTCCTCCATTGAATTGTGTCTTACAATGCTGTATATACAATAAAAACTGGGCAATTTAACATGTATATTTTTTGGGTGAAAAAATCGACATAGCAGTCAAATGCACTAAACGCATGTGAAGGGAAAAAGCCACACGACCGTGGGGAGAACATGCAAACTACGAACATACAGCAGGTGTGAGGGACGGGGTTCAACTTACGACTTCCTGTATACCAGGCAAGGTAGTTACATTCTTGCCACTCTGAATTCCTCCATTGACGTTAGTCTCACTATGTGATGGATGAAACAAAAACTGTAAAATTAAAGGTACTACGTGTTTTTTTTTGCAAAAAATAGCCACATTTATAAATAACGCGATCTAAACCCAAAAACGTTGATTATGAATAACATTGGTCGCGAAAGCCTACGTGTTAAACCACATTTTTGACTTGCAATTTTTTAATTAGAAGCTCATTCCTCCAATGCCTTTAGTCATACTATGCTATATATGAAATGAAATTTGGTGATTATACAAATACAGTGATACCTCGGTTCACGAACTTTATTCGTGAAATGACTCTGGTCGTGAACCCAATTGGTCGTGAACCGAGGCACATTTTCCCATAGGGTTCAATGTAAATCCGGTTAATCCGTTCTGACCTTTTTTTTTGGTTTTTGAAGCACATAAATATGAAACAAATTACAATACACATTAGTACTGTACAGTATTGTAATGTATAAAGAGAGAACACTAACCTTGCTTGAGATGACTTCTGGCATGGAGGAAGGCAGGTGGGAGGCGGGTGGGAGGCGGTTATTGTTTGGAGGGAGAGTCCCCCTCCATAAGGACATCAGGGGGATCTCCTTCAGGGGTTTCCTCTCTCCTTTGTCTCCTAGCTGCAGGTTCAGTTTTGCTGAAAAATCTGTCCAATGTCAATGTCTCTTCCTGCGCTGCATAACCCTCCAGGAAATGAGAGACCACATTATCATTCATGAGATTTAACACTCTGTTCGTGACAGTTATGTTGGGGTGGTGCTTTTCAAAAAAGTCATGGCACTCATTCCATTTTTGCATAATGGATTTTATGGCATCACTGCTAACCTCCTCCCTTTCTTCCTCTGTTGACTTTTCCATCTTGTACTCCGAGGCCAGATCAGTCACACGAATACCACTGTCATGCTTTTCTACAATTTACTTCTTCAGCTCAATGGTTATTTTCTTCACAACCTTGCTGTCACCTTTACTACTGCTCTGCACTTTCTTTTTGCCACCATGCTTGCGCTGCATATTCTTGTCACCTGCATTTCCCTTGGCACATTGCACTTGCATTTCCACTTGGCCATTGTCACTTGCATTTCCACTTTGCACATTGTCACTTGCATTTCCACTTTGCACATTGTCACTTGCATTTCCACTTGCACATTGCACTTTGCACTTGTCCTGCGTTTCCACTTGGTCACATTGTCACTTGCTTTCCACTTTGCAACATTGTCACTTGCTTTTCATTGGCCATTGTCACTTGCA